CTCCGAAAACCCCCAAGTAACGAGTTTGGAGCGATTTTCATGCACGCTGCCATTTCTCCCCCAATTCACCCCCCGCGCACCGCCGCACTCCCATCCCCGGGTAATTCTAATGCCAGAATCGAGTTCGGCAGCCCCGAAAACCCCCCGAGTAACGATTTTCGAGCGATTTTTCCCGAGTTTCCAGTCGTTCCTATAATGGTGCAAGTAATGATGCAATTGGAAAATGCATTTTCCGGTCCAGAAGGCATTTTTCAAAAAATGGCTAAACCAGACGATATATATTTTTTTCCTGGGACCTTTCTGAACACAATGCAGAAAACCGCATCTCGATATCTGCTGTCCCTAAAAATTTCCGCTATTCCGGTCGATTAAGATCTAAATGCCCTGGACTATAAATATTACATGGACAAATATTTATACCTGAGAGATATCCTTTAAATGATTCACATAAACGTCATTTCCTTTAAGAAAAGGCCAGGCACGTCATCAAGCTTTTTGACTGGACCCGGTCCAACTACAGAAAAACAGTGGCGTATCCAATTTCTTTATTTATACGCCCTTTGGAATTAGGACGGCAGTATTGTGTACTAAAATGCACAGCCGAAATGCTATTTTTCCTCAATCAATTCTTTTTTTTTTAATAATAATATACTGTAATGCGAGCCATTTCATGCTCTAATCCTCCAGGTCCCTCTCTGTCTTATTTGGCCTTTGAGGCTCAACTTGTCCGATTATCATACATAATTAAACCCCCTTAAGACCAAATATATGTGACGACTATGGCGAAGGCGCTTTCGATTACATTCCAGAATGAACGTGATAATGTTTCTAGTTTTGGCGGAAGCATTCTAGATCATCACCAGAATTTTCAATGTGTATATAAGTATTGGTGGAAGAACACGGAGCAGTCAGTCGTATTCAAAGAGTTGTCAAGATAAATAGTGAACAATTTAAAGACATTCGAAATATATTATAAAAATTAGCAATAGTATTGTTTTAAAGTAAATAAGTGTTCAAATAAATTATTAACAAATAAACTGTTGTTTAAAATAAACAAACGCTACATTGGTATCGAGAAGTGAAATAGTGTAAATAAATGGTGATTATAATGGCTAAAAGACTGTGTGATTTAAAAGTGACCGAGCTACGTCGGGAAGATCGCGAGTTGAAGACGACAGGGAAGAAATCAGAACTGGCAGAACGATTTAAAGAAGCAATAGAAAATGAAAGTTTGTATTCGGAAACGTATCTGTTTTCATCTTCTGCTATAATTTCTTCAATTTCTTCCGATATGGAAATTAAAATCTGACCTCTATGAAAATCGATATTTCTTCTAATGTGGAAAATAAGATGACTTCCGTTGAGGAAAAACTAATGTCTTCCGTCGAGAAGAAAACAAAAGAAATGAAAAAAAGATAGAAGAACTGGAACATACAGAACAAACCAAGGACGTTGAAATAAAGTGCCATGAGGTAGAGTCAAAGTTGAAATTGGAAGGAGCCGTAAATTCTGCTCGTGTTAAAGAAAGACGTCATGAACCAATTATCTTAAATAATTTAAAATAGCTGTCAGAGCAACCGAATGGCCTGAGAAAAAAGGCAGTGAATCTGACAATCGCCCTTCGAAGAAACGCTTTGATATCCTTCAAACTATACCTGTAGAAGAGACCGATGACTTTGAACAACTGAAAAAGAGACTCAACATGCGATATGGCCACGAACATTTGGAGCATCTATATAGATCACAGTTAAAGAATAGCAAACAGAAACGAGACGAGACCCTTTGTCTGCCCATCAGCTCCGGAAAACATGATAGAATGTTTGGCTGTCCAAACATTTGTTGATGAACTCCGTGACCACGACATGCAGAAAATACTCCGCTTAACCCGCCACAAAACATTGGTCGATGTCTTGTCCGTTGTTTTAAGGTACCATTTCGGTAGCCGAGACAGGAGACCACTGAGGAGACCAGTAGGACGACAGATGCATAAATGTTACGCTTCGTACATTTCGGAAGCTTGAAGAAGTGTCGCGCGACACTTGGCAATAACCATTCGAGGGAACGATCAGCGTTGCCAGACCTACTGTTTTTACGTAGATCCAGTGTTTTTGTCTCTAGTAAATTTTGTTCTTAATTTATTAAGTTTGCCTCATTCTTCAGCAAATGGTTAAAGAATATTTTCTCTAGTAAATTTTCTGCAGTAAAAGCAGCGTAATAATCATCCATTACTGTAGGTTAGCTCCATAAAAAAAAACATCAAGATAATCATTGTTTTTATTTAAAATGAAACAAAGAATTAATAGGGCATCATAAAAAGAACATGCATATGCCAAGCACTACGATTTTGAATTATCTGATTCAGACTGATCTAAAAGAAGTAGGTACTTATTATTTTTCATTGGTTTTGTCCCGTACGTTAAGTATATAATAAAAATGTTTTTATTTGTTTTTATTCTTTGTTTAATTTTTATTTTTCGTTTCTTATATACTTGTTTTTTTATTTACTACACTGCAAATTATAATTATTTCCCCCTGAGGTATTTAAATCTACTGTTCAGATCTACGGTTTTTTTACCCATACTGTTCCAAAATCTGGCAACGCTGCCTAGATCGAAAGAAATTTCCAACCTAATCACCCCCATAAGAAGCGATGCCCAAGGAGTGCGACACTCCGAGGACAGTGACCCCGAGACAGATTCAGAAGTGTCGGCAGGAAGTGTCGTCTTGACGACACTTTTCGTGTCGCGCCGTGCGAAATGTGTTTCATATAATTGTATGTATTTTAGATAATAATAATAATGTTTATTCATAATAAAAAATATATACAATAATTAAAAATACATACAATCAATCCAATTGGATGAATAAACCTAAAAATATCCACTGAAGTATTATAAATACTTGTTTGTGGTAAAAAAAATATGATTATTAAAAGAACATATTTAAATACATATATTAGAAATGCATTAAATAAAAACTTGATAAAATATATAATAATTTTAAGTTATACATTTTTTTTTTAATTTTTTTTTATATATATATATATTTTTTTTTTTATTTACTAGGCTACATAAAATATTAATTAAAATCATTGAAAGAATAGACTAAGAGAAAAATTTTTATTTTTTATTTTCTATTTTGTTCTTGTTCAACTCTCTATTATTTTATGAATATCTGTTCTTTCACTTTCTTTTATGAAGAGTGTAAGTTGCTTTTTAAAGCTCTTATAAGAAGTTTCCTCTGTTATTCTCTGTGGTAAGTAATTGAACAGTTTTGGACCTAAATATACATAGCTTCTTTGTCCTACAGATTTCGAAGTTATTGGTATACAGTGTAAGTGTTTTGTTCTTGTTTGATGTGAAGCAACACTTCTCGGTCGCGTCGGCTGTCGTATGTCGCGTCGGCGGTCGTCTGTGGCGCCTACCGAAATGGTACCTTTAGAGTATGAGGCAGCTACGCAGGCTTCTCGAGGATACAGTAAAGTGAGGACTGTAAAAGAAGAAAACGTAGAAGATAAACTCGACCAACTAGTTAACATAATGAAGAGGTTCACTGATAAATTAGTAAAAGTAAAATTATTTTAAATATAGTTATTTTGTTTTATTAACCCAAAATAAATTTTAAAATTTAAAGTTTTTCGTTAGTGAGTCGTAGACAAAATATACTGTAAAACTCGAGTGGATTATTCATATCCACTCGTATTGCACAAACTATTATTTCAGTAGAAGTGAAAACTCATACAGTTATACGCATCGATATATGTAAGGAAAACTGCTTAACATTTAATTTTTTTCTTAACAATACCATTAACACTACAAATTAAAAGTAATTTGGATTATACAGGATGGTCCAAAAATAACAATTTATATCGGTTATATTAGAAGGAAAAGCATTTTTTATTAAACATTTTAATTCTTAGATCCATTCAGTTTTCTATTAAAGAATAGGAAAATTTAATTTAGGTACAATGTGTATACAGGGTTTCCCGAAATTAGACGGTCATATTTTAACAGCATAATCTACATCCTAAAATAGGAGTAAAAGTTCATATAAACATAGGTCCGAAAACGTTTCGTTTTCGAGATACAGGGTGTTACAAGTGAAGTCCTGATGGCACCATTTTTAAATATTTTCTAAAATTTCTTTAGTCACCAGTTTTCCAAAGTTAAAAAAAATAAAATTTCTGATTCCACAGGCCTACTACCTAATTACTGTTTACACTTTCAAATGAGATAAAATCAACTTATCATGAAATTTTCAAATGGTTTTCTCTTGAAAATGGTGCGTCCTAGCGAGATGCAACAAAAGTAGCTTTATTACAAATAAAGCATTGGTTTTCCAAATTTTATAGTCAAAAATGTTAAAAACTGTCAACAAAAAAACTTAGGGCAATTTTACCCTAAGCCCCTCCTAATTTACCCACCTATGAAGATGATCAAAAACTGAGGTTTAGTCCACTAAATAGAGCGCAAAAAGGTAAGCATTTGTACCAAATTTCATTTAGTTATCTTTAAATGTTTAGAAAATATGTACAAAAGTGTGTCTTCAGGACTTCACTTTTAACACCCTGTATCTCGGAAACAAAACGTTTTCGGACCTATGTTTTACTCCTATTTTAGGATGTAGATTACACTGTTAAAAACATGACCGTCTAATTTTTGGACATCCTGTATATTTGGTTCTACGGCGGTGAGAAATCTTTGAGTTTCTATCATATTTGAAGAATGGAATATTTAACATTTTTTTGCTTCTAAATCTGATATTTGTAATTTATGTAATCTTTGTTATTAATTTTGGCTATAGTCGTGCTATAGAGGATCGGATATTTATTATTCTATCGAATATGGCAGAGACGAACTTAAGGGAATAGAGCAGGACCGGACTGGTCGAAAATCATTCGCTCGATACTATTTATTACTTTAAAATTGTTATTTTCACTTAAATAGTGAAAAAACCTCTACACAATATATTTTTTTTTAAATTAGATATATATTTTTTAGAAATTGACTGATGGACTGAAAACCACGCGAATTCAGAATAATAAAAATAATGAATTTACGAAATTGCAATTCACAACTGATGACAGTAAGTTAGTGTTGACAGTTGGGAAGAAGGAATTCAACCACTCGGATCACCAAACCGTATTTTTAAACCCCACTTCTGAATGGGTAAGTCTTTTTCTATCTATACTTATACTTATGGAGAGTTATAATTTTACAGTTTTTTTAGTTTAATTTGTACATATTTTGAATTATCCTTGAAATTATCCTACACTTGTTTTTCTACTCCTAATTGAGTGTGAAGCGATTGTCAATCTCAATATTTAAATTTACACACACAAAGTATATTTAAAGGTAAATTGATGATTCTAGATTAAAAACTATTATTACCTTTAATACTCTAATATAGAAATACAAGTTTTACAAACTACCGATTAACATCTTTCCTCAATCCAGTGAGTGAAAAAAAAAATAGTAAAGTTGTTGTATTTATCCTTAAAAAAATATATTCGCTTTATTTTTAGATTCAGCATTACATTAGTAAATTGTTTGAATAGTTTTAATTGAATGTAAATAATGCCGTTGGCGGCTCATATATTTAAAAGCTTCAATTCGATCGTTGAAGTGTTAAGTAGATTTATTGAAATTGATTCAAATAAATACTCGTATATAGATCGACCTATTTAAAATTTCGGATACACTGCAAGAACAACAAAACTTAGATACTTTTGATGCGGTATATTAATATTACACGAGTTTTTTAGATATTTTTATATTTTTACAGACTTTCGTTAAGGTTTATATTACACTACAAAAGTTACGTTTCGCTGACGCGAGATGGAGTCACAATAGTACAAATATGATCTAAAATTAGCTACAATCAATATAGTTTTTTGTAGCTACAAATATTGCTAATTAGAGTTGATACGTGAAACAAAAGACGGCAACATTTTTAATAGATATTATAAAGGCGTAACAATATACGTTGTTGCCAAATATATACACATAGTATTATTAAGCGGCGCGGAGATAAAATCACTTAGTTTAGATTTTCGTTGACATTTTACAGATAAAATTGTTTAAGTAGAGGAAATGGTAGTTTTTGATTTGTAGATTTAAATGACATAGGTTGTCCAAAAATCGTCCTATGGATAAGCCAGATATTCTTAAAAAAAAAGTTTAATATATGTTTCAAAAGCAAAAAATTATCCTTAAAATAATATTAAAAGAAATCAAGTTTTTCTCTGTCTCCTGTTAGACACAATACAGTTTTGAAATTTCAAAATTTTACCCATTTTTACTTGCCTATCTTTATACAGATAAGGAAAGTATAGGAATCATGATTTTTTAACTACATACGCCGATATAATAAAAACTGCAAAAATTCGTAAAAATGTGTCCTTGATTATTACTAGATAAAAACCTAAGGATTCTAACGGTTGTCAAATCATAATTTTATCTTAAATAATAAGAGAGATGAATGAATCCGTTTATTTAGCCATTGCTATTATATACAATTATTTATTTTTTTATTTACATATTTTTTTTTTGTTATCTTACATAATATACACAATTGTTTAATTTGATTCTCTAAGATATTTACATAATTTTTTGTTAAACAAATTCAAATTGCTAGAGTCTTTTATTTCTTTTGGCAGATTATTAAAAAGATGTATTCCATTAATTAGCAACGATCCCATTAAGAAAGTTTTATTTGAAAAATTTATGTTGAAATTTTCATCGGATCTTAAATGTCGAGAATGTAAGTGTTGCCGCGTAACTAGTAACTCACTTAGATATTTCGGTGTTAATTGATGCATCATTTTATAGATTACAACGAGGGTTGCCTTTTTAATATTCTGTTCAATAGAAAGCCAATTTAGGGTTTGTAGCATATTTTTGATTGGAGTGTAAATATCACATTTTAGAACAACTCTCATACATTTGTTTTGGAGTACCTGAAGTCTGCTTACTTGTTCTTTATTACATGAAAGTAAGATAATTCTAGGAAACTAGATGACATGACTAGATGAAAATGATGACATATTTTGTTGGGCGTACCGTTGCTTTGAAACAATTTCGATGCGGGGCCAAATCAATTTTGCAAACAGTCTACATCGGATAAGGTATTCAACTATTCAGCTGTGTTAGTGTTTAAATTTATATGAATTGGTACCTAATAAAAAGTCTGTACCATAACCAAGTTGAGCAAAATACAGAATACAAGAATTTTTACTTTTGAAACATGTATTCTAAAAACTGTACCAATATGTATAGGTTCTAGTTGTTTAATATTACTAATATAATTGAAGAATAACCCTTTTGTCTGTTTGGGTTATGGAGCCAGACTTTGTCACCTTCCTTGAAACATCCTTCTGTGGCTTGGGTATCATATCGCTTCTTCATTCTGTCGCTGACGATTTGAAGATGCGAGTGGACCAATTCATGCATATCGTCCATTTTTCTTCGTAACTGGATCACATAATCCTCACCAGCTATATCTTCTCCAGGTCGGCATCCAAACTCAAGGTCGCACGGGAGTTCATCTCACGCCCAAACAGGACCTTTGCTGGTGTTTGGCCTGTTGATTCATTGACAGCGGATCTATAAGCCATTGCAAAGAGCGAAAGATACTGATCTCAATCTCGCTGATGGTTTGTAACTACTTTTGACAGATATTTGCCAATGGTTTTATTCATTCGTTCTACCATTCCATCGGATTGTGGGTGCAATGCTGTGGTTTTGGTTTTCTTCATGTCTAGTCTGTCACAGTTTCCACAGAAGAGTTGACTTTCAAAATTTCTGCCTTGGTCACTGTGGATCTCCAAGGGCACTCCAAATCGACAAATAAACTCTTTTATCAACACATCTGTAACAGTAGCGGCCTCTTGATTTGGAATGGCGTAGACTTTCATCCACTTCGTGAAATAACCCATAACCACCATCATGTATTTATTACCATTCTCGGTCATTGGGAATGGTCCAGTAATATCTAAGGCGATCCTTTCAAATGGGCTACCAACGTTGTATTTCTTCATGGGAGCCTTCCTTTTCCGCCGAGGTCCATTACCCATAGCACAGCTGGTACATTTCTTACACCAGTCCTTTACATCATCGGAACTATTCATCCAATAAAACCTTTCACGAACTCTCTGAAGGGTATTCCTAACATCGAGATGTCCTCCTGATGGACTGTCGTGTAACTGACGAAGTACTTCGGATTCTCTACTTCTTGGAATGACCAACTGTCTTCTGTTCTCGGAACCATCATTTTCAAGTACTCGCTTTAATAAGCCGTCTTCCAGGATAAAGGAGTCCCACTGAGTCCAATATGATTTAACTACTGGAGAGAGTTTCGATACTTCTTGCCAAGTAGGTCGACGATTTTCCTCTTTCCATTCTTTTATCTTCTTTAAAACGGGATCGTTCTCTTGTTCTTCTCTAAGTTTGACAGGGGCCCACTCATCTCTGACAACCGACGTTTTTCGTACTGTAACTTCTTTAACAGATGTAGCCAACCTCTTTCCAATCAGAGTTCCTTGACCAACACCTTTTAAATTACACAGTTTTTTAGCCATGATTGTCCACTATTTATTTATAGTTCCACTTCTAACACCATTTTAACGATAGTCTAATTTATTTGTAGTTCATTTATTTAAAACACACTATTTTCAATTTATTTCAGACGTACTAATTAATTTATATAATACTTAGACCCTAACTCACAATCCTAATTTATTTAATACAATTTAACTTTTCAGTCCAATATTCTATACTAAACTAAACTGTCTGCCAATGAGTCGGGCTATTTATACCAAGTCCAAATCTGCTACGAGCAGTCTCTAGACGCTCCAGAAAATTCCATCTCTGACTCAACGGTACGCTCCGCCCGTTCTAGCCGTTTCCCGAGCGTCAGCGGCATTCCTAGAAGATTCCGTCGTTTCGAGCATGAGTCGGGTGGCAAGCTGAAGGTCGCTTGCTTTAGACAGAGACGGCTTAGGAATTTTCATGACAACACGCGAAACATTAAGCTGGTATTCATTTCATAGAGAGTTACGGAAGTTTATTAAATATTGAGACCAAAAATGTCATATTTCTACAAAAAAAATTGAACATGGCTATTTACAACGTTCTTTGTCGCCGGACATCTTTTTTCAATAAATAATCCCTTAATCAATACGTTTCCTGTTTTATTAATCATTCTGTAATTCTCTGATTTTTAAATCGATTTGGCAACATCGCAAAACTATCGCCACTCAAGGTACATCTAGCGGCTACATTCAGAAACTTTAATTCTATTTCTATTCGTAGCAGCACCGACTGGACTCACGGTTCGTAGACAACACGGTGGCCTCATCACGGTTGCTAAGGGCGCAGTGACGTCACTGAATGATAAAGTGATTTGACAGAATATTTTACTTGGTGTCGTACATTAGTTTTTTAAAAATTCTAATATTTTATTGTTATTTAGTGGTGTTCATATTTTTATTTTTGAACTTTGTTCTGGTGTTAGAGTTTTTATAATATCGGTAGTGTGATTTTTTGAAAGACAAGCTACAAAACAGCAAGGAAAAATCATGTAATGATTTCCATCAAATTTCAAATGAATTATAAAAAGAAATATTATTGGGTGAAATGTTTATTTTAAACATTTTGGATTATGGTACGGCCTAAGAGCTGAATTCGTATCACACTTTGTTTATATCCCGAAATATTTTAAAATGTTGGCAAGCCTGTAGCTAGCCGTAGTGTTGCTGTTGTCTGTCAAAGGTTCCAAATAATTTTTAATTTTTAAAGACAAAAATCAGAAGTAATAAAGGGACTGAGCCTAAACTGAAATTAAAGGCTTATGGAAAGATTTTCGTGTATTATTCTGAAAACATCATTCACTATTATTAAATTAATTGCAGCACTGTCCACCCGACATTTAAAATCAGACGACATGGTTTCTTACAAGCATTAAACAACAAAAAGCAAGAAAAGTCAAAGGGCTTTACTAAAGGAACCTACATTATTGAAAAAAGGGTTTTCTCCAGGAACGTTTTAGTAAAAAGTACTTAGTTACAAATAATTTTATTGAAAAAAACAAGGACCCATTGGACCTCAGAAGAAACATAAAATGTATATTTATATCAGAAATAAAAAATATATTTTGTCAGTTTCTAGGA